TAAAAAACATTTATATATAGCTTAATTCTGGGAAGGAGGGCTTGCCAGCATTCCATTTTCCTATCCATTTTAAGTGTGCCACTTTAGTGCTCAGTGAAAAGTACCCATACTTTCTACCCTGTCATAAGGAATTCGAATTGGTCACTTCTTACAAAGCCTGAGAAATACTTTTGGCAGAAATGTTTATTCTAGAAATAATTTTGCGTGAAATCTGGCCTCACTCATGAATATTTTTTCTATAAATTACACCCTTAATTGATAAAAGTTTGTCATCACAGTATGCTATTGAATTCATATGGTAGTTGAAAAACAGCCAGAATGACTTATTTATGGTTTCTCCTTCAGCCTGCGTTGCCTCTCGACCAGGACAGTGCGGACGTTGCGATGGATACGTTCTTGAGGGTAAGGAACTCGAATTCTACTTGAAAAAGATCAAGTCCAAGAAAAACAAATAAAGTATTGTGAACTGTGTTTTTTTAGTTTTCTTGAACCTATTTCCAGGTATGATAGAAAGTTTATCTCATATGAGGGTTTAAGGAATGTTATAAGCTAAGCTTTTTTAGTGTACATCCAGATATTAGTATTGCAAGTTTTAATGATTGTTATTATGATTTTTTAAATTTTTTAAATGTTGCGAAAACCTTTGTTGAGTGGTGCGTTTAGATTTTATGAATGTCTTTGTGTCTGGAGTGTTCGAACCTGTCCAGAATTATTTGGTAGACTGGCTCATTTTGTTGTGAAGTTGTTGATAAGTGGCTCTTTAACCACTAAACAATTTGATATAACCTATGTAAACAATTACTGTAGACAACCACTATAAACAAGTGGCCATAACCACTGTAAACAATTAGACATGACCTACATATTCGGTCTGATCCTTGCTTAGCTGAAGCTCAAGTTGATAAAGATTGAAAACTACAATGAAATTCTCGTGTTTAAAGGAAGTCAGCAAGATTGAACCTCGAAGGTAGATTTGCCTCGTATGTGGATAGGACCTCTCCTTGTGGTACTCTCAAGGAAACAAGGTGCTGAGAGTGCACCCAATAATGAAAAATGAAATTTTCGGGCATGCAAAAGTTATTTCACTCGGCGTAGAGCTGTTCCTTCAATACCAAGGCAAGGAGCTGCACAGGGATGAAAGCGTTTTCAGGAATGCTAAACCATCATGCTCCATGAAGCTGAAATGCGTCACCTGTACACAGTCTTCCTCCACTCGGATATCTTGCACACACTTCCCTTCTCCACTGACATTCCACGTCCATCCAATGCCCTTTATATGCCATCCAGCCGTCTCCCTCTAGGTTTTCCTCTTGGCCTTACTCCAAACCCTTCTGCACTCCTATATGTTTCCAATACATTTCATAGCCTACATACTTATGGTCTCAAAAGTAGTTGCTACTTACGAACAGGTTCAATTTTGACAAACAGGTCATTAGTGGACCGGATGTTGAACCAAATATATCATAATTTTTACAAATGACTAAATCAGTTAAGCCTATATTAGGTGTCTGGTAATGACATTTTGTTTGTTTTCGTTGCATAAGTGGCTCTTTAAGATGAAACAAGGGGCTCTGAATCCATACAACTTAGCCAGGCAATGTTTTCTGTTTGTTATTTAGCATTCATCCTTACGCTCTGACGACTTTTTTTTTTTTTTTTTTTTTTAGATGTACTTTTGGTCTTATTTGTAATGCTTTGTTTACATTTATTACTTCTAGGCAGGTTTTTCGTATTCTAAGGTGTAAGTTCCTTTTTTTATTTTATTTTTACCAAAATTTCACTTTATCAGTCAATCTCACACTCAATCATTTTGCAGGATTTATCTGAGGAACCATATTTATCAACAAATATATATATATATATATATATATATATATATATATATATATATATATATATATATATATATATATATATATATATATATATATATATATATATTATGATTGTGACACCAGGACGGGCCAAAAAATAAAATAAAATAAAACAGCCCCCACCGAGCCTGGGCACGAAGAACACATTAAGTAAAAAGTAACAGATGGAGAGTGTAATGACTTGTCAGATGTGAAGGGATAGTAGGGTGTGTGATGAATATCCAAGAATATTCAGTGTTGATGTAGGCATAACATATAACCGTAACTGAAGGAAGACTTAACATCGAACTGTCCTGGACAGTCCTATTCAAGCAGGATATGTACGAATTTTTAGGACAATACACGCGCGCACATACACACATGGGGGTCTTTTAGATGCAAAAATTATATCCGTGAACCTCCTGCATAGAAATCTTGAGAAATACGGGTTTAGCATAATTATTTAATGGATTTTGAATTGGCTTGTGCGTGTGTGTTCTTTTATAGCCTCTTCTGAATTCCTATTTAGATCTAAAGAACTTCATCAACCATTGCTCATTGACACTAGGAACGAGCCAGTCTTCCTAACTATCGCCAGTTCTATCTAGATCTGGTCCGAGAAGCCAGATTGTCTGCAGAATATATTTTTTCTATCTACCTATATATATATATATATATATATATATATATATATATATATATATATATATATATATATATATATATATATATATATATATATATATATATATATATATATAACAATTATTTCATATTACTCGTCTTCCTAAAAAACCTATAATAATAATATAATAATAATAATAATAATAATAATAATAATAACCACTGTTCTTCCCCTAAAAAGTGCAAACATACAGCACACATCGTCATATTTCTCAATGCAATATATTCCTTTTGCACTGGTGCAATTCTTCCTTTTGATATATCATCGCAATTGTTGCCATTGAGGGGTCGTTCCTTACAAAGAAATCCTTACTCCAGCTGTAATTGGTGGTGCTTTCATGCAAGTTTAAAGCTTATCCTCCCATTCACAAACATTGCTTGAGAAAGCAGCCATGATGTCAGTCAAGATAATTTCTTAAACTTCGAAACCAAGAAGAAAAATGAATACACAGGGGCGATATTTTGGGTCCACGAGTAACTGAAAACAAGAGGATCAGGTTAATTAGCCACCCCAGTACATTAAATAACCCCATAAATGGTTAGATTAGGTCAGGTTAATGTCTAATTTAACATAGGTTAACTTAGCTAACCTAACAGTGTACGGGGTCATTTAGCGCCCTGGGGTCGCACATATTTACCTGATCCAATGCAAGAAGCTTGCCATGTAAAGGGACATGAGTTCGAGGCCACCTCATGCCTCCTGTAACTTAGTCACGTCGAAGTTGTGGAAGAGACGATTATGGTGTATGTTATCTCATGGCCTCTGGCAACTAAGCGGACACAATGAGTGCATAAATAGAAGTACCTGACCATTTAAGGAGCCAATTTGCTCTGTTAGCTCAGGCAAGAGAATAGACAAACCTGTGTCTGTCCTGAGTTTTTTTTTTCTACAGGAATAAGTGTTTTATTAATGGAAAATAAAAATAAAAATAAATCCGGAAGACAAGCAGCAGATGTTAGCAAGTACAGGTGTGTGGATAATAAAGATATAATTGGGGTTAATACTAGGGTCACGCAGCCCTTTCTAAATCTATTCATATCTCTTGCCTTTATATATTTATTTATTTATTAGTTATACATATTATTTATTATTTTATTTATATAGTTATTTATTATTAATATAATACTTATAAGTGCTCACATATATTATTTACATATTTATTACTCTAATATCATTACTTTTTTCTTATATATTTTTTTTTCTATTTTTCATCATACAAATAGAATATTTTCAATTCATGACTATTATATTAAGCAACTGAGCTCATGTTGCTCAGGTTCCAGCACTGTCCTGCCATTTCCGTTAGCGTACTCAATATACCCGCTTAGATGGTAAGAGTTTGGAGAATCACTGTGTCATTACTCTTATTCATACCCTCTACTTAATTTATATATATATATATATATATATATATATATATATATATATATATATATATATATATATATATATATATATATGTTCCGGTTTTACGTCACGGACTCCCTTATCAACCAAGGGCTAGGACGGTTGCCTTCTTGCGAAGGACTTGTTTTGGCAGATGTAATCCTTACGCTGAGTGCATGCCTTTGCTAACCTCAGACCGTGGCGGGGCGCGAACCCTCGACCTGACGCCTCAGAGTCGGAGACGCTACCGAATGAGCCACGGCGACTACACACATATATATATATATATATATATATATATATATATATATATATATATATATATATATATATATATATATATATATATATATATATATATATATATATATATGAATGAGTGTAATACCGGGACAGTCAAGAATATTGCCCTCATGAGGTCCGGACACCAATAATATATTTAGACGAAAAAGTGAAAATATAGATACAAGGGGAAAATATGATAACGATAAAGTATAGGAAAAGAACAGGCTGAAAAAAATAGTTGCAGTAATGAAGACCTAGTTATATGTATTGGGCCCTGAGATGAAGATAGATCAGCATTTTAAAAGAAGTAGGTCATAGGAGTTAAGGAAGACAGAAGGAGGAAGAGAGTTCCAGAGTCTATAGGTGGAAGGCAAGAAGCAGTTGCTATTCTAAGATACAATGAGATCTGTCTTTACCACTTCATGTTTACAGGTTCCGATCATATTAGTGTCCAGATGATTATCTACTAGGCCAGTTAGATATCTTACCTAGGGATTAACATATTCTGTTGTTAATCACAACTTATCGTTTCATCTTTTAATAAGATTTTTTTCTTCTTCTTTTATACGGGTCTGACCTGGTTTTTATTTTTCGTTTTTGTCATTAATTAATCCCCATTAGGGGGAGGACACCGATGGATTGAAGCTGGGGGAATCAAGGCTGGATGCTCTTCCTATCGCGTCACCGTGGGCTTGAACGCTTGTCCATCACTTCTTAAATCGAACACTCTACTGGTTACGTTACGGCGGTCCCATTTGACCTGTGTTACGGTCATTTATTTTCAGTCGGTTGCCGTGGCTGAGTAGAAAAGCTCGCGACTTTTATACGTCAGGGCGTGGGTTCGATGCCCACCAGGGACTGTGGTTTTAAATGGGCATTCACTCAGGGTAATGGCCGAACTTGGCAAAGTCCTTGGTAAGAGGGCACTGTCCTAGCCCTTCATAGAAAAGGGAGACCGTGACGTAAAACTGATCACTGCTTACGTTACTGTTCCATTATGTATTTACTTGTAATATATATATATATATATATATATATATATATATATATATATATATATATATATATATATATATATATATATATATATATATATATATATATATATATATATATATATATATATATATATATATATATATATATGCAGAACACAGAGTGAATGTTGCTGTTGTTACTACTACTACTGCTACTACTACTATTATTATTAATATTATTGTTATTATTATTATTATTACTACTATAATTATTATTATTATTATTATTATATATTTTCTCTTAAATATTGCTTATTATCGTGCTCTCTGTGTGTTCTTCCGTAATCAGCTGGCTCAGCTAACAGCTGATCACACGTTTCATTGCTTCGAGGGGTCTTTATTTATAAAATTATTTGTAATTTATAATATTAAGGTCCGATAAATTGATGATTTTCTTAAAATGAATGCAGTACATTTTTCCATGAAAAAGTACTAAATCTGGAGAATTTGTATGTTTCTATTCTTCATTAACAGGGATTGTATTACATAAGTCGAAGTCACATACAGACATTCGAACAATAAACCTTATCTCCCTGCAAAACTGTTGCCAGGTATCTGGCGTTTCTCGCATTGTTGAAGAAATGTTTTTCTTTATTATTATTATTATTATTATTATTATTATTATTATTATTATTATTATTATTATTATTATTATTGTTATTATTATTATTTTCTTTTTTGACTTAGCGAAATATATTTTGGCCTTAAGAATGCATTTAAAAATATTAATTGGGTATAGACATAGTTTTAAAGTTAATCCATAGTTTCAGAATGGACTCGTAACAGAATATAAAAAAATGGCAATGCATTTACCAGGAAAGAAATGCATTGGTTACATTATCCCAGCAAGTCTTAAAGAAATCAATAAAGCAAATGGCAACTGTTACCTAAGCTAAAGGAGAGCGCTCCGTAGCTTTACGCCAATGTCTCGTTCGTTTACGTTAGCTCTGGGCTCAAAAATATTTATTTATTTTGATCAGAGAAATGACGCTACTCTTATCACAATACTACTTGAAATGAATGGAATATTTTAAATGACGTAAATATTTTTTTCTGTTTTAGTAAAGTTAGGAGAAAATTATGGACGTTGCATAAATTATTACAACAAAGGAAAGGAAACTAAGTCGTTCTAGTTGATCACGCAAAAAAATATTTTCCGTTGCGTTAGATAGAGATAGTGAACGAACCCAGAGAGTGACACTTCCCGGGCCTCGATGAATGTTCAGAATGTTTCTCTCAGTAGTGTGTCAGGCTTTGGAGTAGTGGGTAGACGTCTGTTTTGCTCTGTGGAAGGCATTTGAGTGGCTCTATTTTAATACAAATTCTTGTGTGAGTGTTTCATATTTTTTATTATTATTTAAGTGACAGAAATAATGATATTAAAATTTAGTTTTAAGCTTTTGGAACGTTTTGGCGTAAATTAAAATACGGACTGCTTTTTGTCAAAAATCTTCTTTGTTAATTTCCGACAAATTGTTTAGTTCAAAAAATTGTATTTTTATGATAAGGATATCATCTGAGAGGATTTAAAATAGTGTATTTTTCTTTGGCATTTGTATTAGTTTTTATTTTGTGTAAATATAGGTATTAATTTAATTTACTTTAATTTTAATGTGATTTTATTTCAGCCTGAAAAATTTTCTCCGATAGAACTAGTTTTATTTCTGTTTCAACCCTAACACATTACGGCTTTGTTTTTTTAAATCTGTATATACACTTAGAAATGTAATTATTGCACTACATATTACTTACAGCACAATTTTAAGTGTTTTATTCGTTTAATTTCGTGTAATTGCAGGAGGCAGATAGCAAAAATATGATAGAAGCCATTTTCTTCATTTAAAATCAAAATCCGTCACTTAAAAGTACAATGAAACAGTTTCTAATCCTCACAGTCCATGTGTGTGTATTTTTATTTATTTATTTTTAGAGCTCCCATTGTTTTTGTTGAATTTTTCCTCTTCAGCTTGCGTTGAGCGGGGTAGCAGGTTTTCGCGTGAATTTACCATAGCGAGAGAAGCTCTGCTTTCATACCTTGTAGGTGTTGCTTTCTTCTTTTTCTTCTTCTTCTTCTTCTCAGTGTTGTTTTCAATTAAAGAAATATATATTGCTACGCAAGTCTGATTGACAGTTGTGATATTTTTACCCTATAAAAATGCAACAAATTTTGTTCCATATTTTAAGATAACACTTAAAGACTTGGGGTGTATTGAGGGTACAGTCTGGAAGAGAGAGAGAGAGAGAGAGAGATTGTAATAATATAATAATAATAATAATAATAATAATAAGACTTTATTTCCAACGTACATTGGGTATTCAAATATGGGTGTACTATTAAAATTTACAAGTAAAATCTTCCTTTAAGAGTAACTTCTTAAGATTATATTTAAAAGTATACACTGAACCAGCATTTTTTAGTTCTCTGGGAAGCTGATTATATAAATGAGGTCCACGAATGTTTATATCTCTTGAGCCAATATCAGTTTTAGACCTTCGTACTAATAAATCTTCCCCTTGATGGGTAGTTAACCCGGTAACTGAGCTTACTGTAGAAAAATTATACAAGCAATCAGGAAGATTGTTTCTTAGTATATTAAAAACAAAGGTACATATATCAAAAACATATTTATCTCTAATCTTTATCCATTCTAGATCTTTTAAAACAGGAGAGATATGCTCGTATTTTCTTACATTGCCAACAGCCACTCGTGCTGCAAAGTTTTGTAACTTTTGTATTCTTTGTAATTGAGTCTTATTTGTACATCCCCAAACTTTGAGACAGTAATTAATTAAACTCATAGCTAAGGACTGGACAATTATTATACGAGTTGATGTTTCAAATGAGTCTTTTACCCTATTTAGATATATTAGAGTACCCATTACTTTTTTATAAATTTCATCTATATGCATTTCAAAATTCATGTAACGGTCAAAATAGACACCTAGGTTCTTTACCGAGTTCATTGGCTTAATGATATTACCGTTAAAATTTATATGAAGATTGTCATCAACTTCTGATAATAATTGTCTGGATCCGATAAGAATAGATTGGGTTTTAGTTTCATTAAGTAACAGACCATTTTTTAGAAAGTAACGTTTAGCCATATACAAAATTTCTTCTGCTCTACGAATAATATTTTCTAAATCATTAATTTCTCCTTCAATTAAGATTTGAGTATCGTCAGCATATTGAATGACATAACAGTTAGGTAAATATTTTACTAGATCGTTTACATATATTAGAAAAAGTATAGGTCCTAGGATCGATCCCTGAGGGACCCCAAACAATACCTTCTTGCGACTTGAAACTACATCTTTTATTCTGACTGACTGGTAGCGGTTTTTTAAATAGTTCTCGAACCAGCTTGGGTCAATGTTCATTTTTTTGCATTTTTCTAATAAGATGGTATGGTGTACACTATCAAAAGCTTTAGAAAGATCGAGTAGTAGTAGCAATGATATTTTCTTATTATCTATATTTTTGTATATTTCATCTGATATTTTCAATAAGGCAGTTTCAGTTGATAATTTTGGCCTGAAACCGTGTTGACTTTTTGCAATAAGTTTATTTTTTTCAAGAAACTCACTTAACTGATTTGCAACAATCTTTTCAAGTATCTTTGATAAAATTGGTAGTAAAGAGATTGGTCTATAGTTAGAGACGTCGTCAGGATTTCCATTTTTAAAACCAGGAATTACATGGGGATTTTTCCATAAATCTGGGTAAATATTGGTAACTATGGAAGTATTGATTATTACCGTCAGATAATATGCTATTACAAATAATGAATCTCTAATAAAACGAAAACAAATTCCATCTGATCCATATGCATTAGAGTCTTTCAGATTTTTTATTACTAAGATTACTGTATTACAATCTACTGTAGTAGGGTTAAAGACATCATTACTTCTATTGAATGCACTATGTTCTTGAAGATTAACATTATTATTATTATTACTACCATCATCACTATTATCATTACCATTACTACCACCATCATTATTATTTACACCATTATCAACATTTCTATTATTATTACTACTACCATCATCATTATTATTACCACCATTACTATTATTGATTTCATTTATTATTTCTTTTTTTGTTTTTTCAAAGTTTTTTTTCCCCACTTCAGCGAAAAAATTATTGAACTCTTCTGCTTTAGCACTTACATCTACCTCATCGGGTATAATTGATATGTTACTACTTTTATTACAGTTATTGGAAAGCATGGTTTTAGCAATTTTCCATGTATCAGAGATATTGCCTTTAGCGTTTTGAAATTCATTTTTGTAATACTGTTTCTTACTGTTTCTTAATAATGATTTTACTTGTTTCTTATGCTCTGTAAACTTTTCTCTTAAAGGGATATTATCTCTTTGTAGTTTTACTTCATTTTGTAGTTTGTCTCTTTCTTTCATAATGTTTTTTATGTCATCTGTTATCCAAGGAGCGGGGGGACGAAATATTTCTCTTGTCACGAGTGGTGCACATCGATCTATACATGATGATAAGACACTGGTTAAAATGTTTACTTGTATATTAATATTATCGGTATATAGAATTTCATTTAATTTATGTACTTCATTCATAAGTAAACTACAAAGTAATTCTTGTGAATAATTTCTTAAGCATCTGAATGTTTTAAAGATTGGTTGTCTCTTTGGTTTGCGAATATTTAGGGACGTTACAATTTCCTCGTGGTCTGCTATAGGGCTTGGCATTACGTCACACTTAGTTATCATATGTTTGGAGTTTGTTATTACTAGATCGATTTGGGAAACTGAAGTGGGAGTGATTCTAGTTGGTTTATTTATAATCT